TCCCCAGAGATAACCCTGCCCATCAAAAAGCCACAAATTATTGATAAGCATCTGTCATAACCCACCTGATGACTTCCTACAGCCACCTCTTATCCCACAAAGCCCCCATAGCCTTGGTCAACACCACTCTCCTGGACTCATCCACAGGACCACAGTTCTTAGAGGCTTCTCAAAGATGTGGGGGTATACTAGTTTCTACCACATGCTTCTTTTCTGCCCCAAACTGCCCCTGGCCAGCTTTCACGGGCCCCTCAAACATCTGCTTATACAACAGTTGCTGCCTGTTCTGAGGCCTCCTCAGGGAGGTTCGGGGACTCAGTGTGTGGGCAGCTGCAATCAATCAAACCTCTGTTTTGGCATCCCGACCCCTCCCAACAAATGTCTTGCTTCTGTTTGAAGCATTGTTGAAAAATACAATTTGTTGTTCTTCCAAGCTGACCAGCTTGGAGTTAAAACTACAGCAAGAACTATGCCACTCAGGGACATGGCATTCAAACGGTAATTTTTTTAATAGTAGCTTTTTCTGAAATCTTTGCTCACACATATGTGATCCATGTCTACATGGCCACGTATAGCTCAGGTTTTGCTGGGAATCAACCAATGCTTGGTGACCAAACCAGGTCTCAAAAAAGCAGTAACTAATAATGTCAGCAAAAGTCCTGCATATAAACAATCCATATGCTGAGGCTGGACCATGCCCTCTATGGTACACAATGTCATTTTGCAAGAGAGGCTGCAGCTTCATAAAACACCAGACAGAAAGAGTTGCAAAAACCCACGTGAGGAGGAAAGCTGTAGGCGGAGGTCAGCAGGATCAGACTTGCGCAGGGATCGGTGCGTAACTGATCCTCCGGGCTGCCTTCAAGCACCTTGCTCTGTGGAACCAAGCAGTTGTGATGACAATTACAAGGAGGGCGGCCATTTCCCGACTATGTCCTTGCATCATTTCCCTGCGCTGGGGCTTTCCTCACTACAATCAACCTCCTCACTCAGGATCCAGATGCTGAGTCACCCGCAGCTTCATTTGGTGTCCCTGCCCACAATCTTGGCATGCAGGTTTTGAGAACACATGAGCAAGGACAGTCTGAAAGCAATTTCTACACACCCCCAACCACTGTGTCTCATCTTTACTGCTAAGAGAGACAAGAACCACCACTGCTGGCTAACTGGACAGTTGTACCCCAGGGATATGGCTGGGCAGGGGGAAGGTGGACTCCCAGGATCATTTCTACCCTAGTTTCAAGGGTGACAGACATGAGACAAGAATACCCACATATGGCCAACTTCCTCTGGCAGGTGGCAAATCTGATTCTGTCACCATTTCATAACCCTCGGCTCTGAACATGGAGCTCACTGAGCTGCAGGGCAGGCCTATGGCCAGCAAGCCTCCTTCCCATTTACAAAAGAAAAAGGATGAGGCAAGAAGATGAACGAACAAGTAGTAGTAAATGTCAAGGACAGAAAAGAGAGGATAGAAACACAGAGTGGGGAAAGGTGAACAAATAAAGAAAAGGGGGAGTTCTTAGACTGATTGTGTCTCCAAGGAACGTCCGCCCTTGGGCCCCAATTCTGCTGCTGGAGTCACCAACACCTTCCCTCCGAGCCCTGTAACTATGACAATTAAAGTAAGTATTTGTCAGCAGGCCTGACAAATACCCTGAGCCAGCCAGTGCATTGGGTGGTGAGTGTGTGCATACAGATAGATATAGATACACACATATGTATATATACATACATACAGACAAACATACACGTACATATATGTAAACACATTATACACACACACACGTTATTTCCCTTTCTCCTCCCACAGTCCTCTGTTGGTGGTGGTGGTGGTATTTGCCACACGGAGACTTTAGGCAATTTTCCCAGGGCTGACAGCCTCCTGTCCCTCCTCTGGAGGAGTTCTGGTTTGTCAATATCCCCTCCTAAGTGCAGATCCAAAAGTGAACACCATGTCCAGAAGGGGTCTAGCAGGCCCAGCAACAAGTAGAGCCTCAGTTTCCTCAGAAGGGGCTAGAATGGACAAGCCCTGAGCTCACATGTGGTTCTGACATCCTCTGCTTCTAGCAGAGTCTGCACCTCAGGGCACTTATTCCTGCTAAACCCAGCTGCAGATGTAGATGAAAACAGGGCCTTAGACCTCAGAGCTTTGTGCCTTTCTGCTGGTCTGACTCTCTTGGGTTATCTCCCTGGTCCCTTTTCTGTTAGCAGGTTGGAGGGGTTCTTCTGGCTATCATCGCCCCTCGGGCCACTCTGACCAATGGAAGATGGAAGCCTCTGTGTACTCATGCACACCCAGATGGAAGCCTCTGTGTACTCATGCACACCCTAGAGATCTTCTCTGGGCCCCAAAGGTCCCATCCCCAGTGAGGGCCTCCAAGAGAGCCGGGGTTTATCAGAATGCCCAATTGCTCCAAAAGCCTAACCAAAAAGGCACTTTGCACCTTTCATCTGAGCTCCTGTGCACCTAGTCCCAGAATCCACATGCGAAAGGGCTCCTTTACAAGAAATCTCAAGTGGATCGCCCTTCCCCCAAAACCAAATGTATAAACCAAAATCAAAATACCCATTAAAGAGAGTCCACAACCCAGCTTAAAGAAGCATGGGTCAGCACCAACCCTGGGTACAAGCCTATCCTTCCATGAACATCGAAAAAGCTCGCCTACAAGTCTTTCTTCCGCAGGCATGCCCACTTCCCAGTAGTTACAAATACTGAGTGAAGCAACAACATACAGAGGCTAGGGTCTATGGGCAGTCGGCCACACATCAACCACCCTGAGGCAATGCGCAGATCTCTGTACACCAGCGAAATGCCCAGCTCACTGGGTACCCAGGCACAGGGCCCTGCAATGTCCAGGCTGAGTCCAGGGCTCTTTACAAATGAACATGGCTCGCCCTAGGCCTGGTTTTTCAAGGCCTCCTGGAAAAGCAAGGCCTATCTCCTGAAGCCATAAATCATCCAGTGGGGAAGCCAAAACAGGCAGAGCCCCAGAGCCCCATGGAGAGAGGGCTGGCCAGGGTCTAGATGCTTGGTGGGAAATGGCTCTGAGTCCATGGGCCCCATCCCCAAGGCTCTAGCCATAGGCTCTTGAGCACATACTTCCCAGGGGCCCCTCTGTACTTTCCCTGTGCTCTGTTCTACCCAGGACTTGCTGCCAAGCAATCAGCCAGGACAGACAGGCTGAATCAATGCAGCCTCCTTAGGCTCCGGCGTGCCTTCCTGGATCTTGGAGGCCTGCCTGGAGTCGATGAAGCAATCTATACATCTGGGCACAGCCCCACCGAGCGATATATTTTTAAACAGTTTCTACCCAATGGAGGCCAGGAAATGTCTCCATGATGCCAGTGGTGTTATTCCAACTGTGGCTAGTAAAATATAATAACATGTGTAAGTTGTTTTTATTAGCTATCTAGCTTATTAGCTAATAAAATAAGCTCAGCATTAAAAGTTTAACCGAAGCTGTTTATCGCACCCAGAACTTAGGGCTCTGGGTTTCCTTCAGAAGTCACCCCAATCTGTCACATTTCCAGCCTTTTTACCTATTTAAATTTCTCCAGAGAAGAAAAATTCCTCTTGGTACCCAATGAATGTGTTCAATCATTGTCCAGCTAGTAAAGTCAAAAATGTCCACTATACAGGAAGAAGAAAGGGACAGACCTGGAAACACAATGGAAGAAATAGAAACTGGACAAGGAGGGGCAGGAGGTCTAGGAGAGGCATGAGCACATCACTAACTTGCCTTCCAGCTGCAGCTCATGAGCAAAGGCGGCCAAAACATCTGGACTCTGGGCCAGGTGTGCTCTAGACTTGAGATACCTGCACCTCTTCTTTTGTGGGAGGACCTCTAGGCTGGGAGGGAGAATTACAGGAGAGAGAAGAAAAACTCCGTAAACAGAAACTGCATCTTCTTTCTAAAACAAAAGGAGGCCCACCTGAGAAAACAACCCTGGGCCCTGAAGGAAGACAGTGTGCCTGCCCGAAACAGAGTGGGCACAACAAGACTATGGACCTGGCCATGACACAGTTCAAGCAGGGCCAATTCCTCTGAGACCGTCCTCACCAATAAGCCAATCTTTATCCCCTTAAACTGATCAATGAACGATGTTTACATATACAGACCAGAAAAGACGGTGGTCAAACCGTGGCACTAAGCAACTGAGGGCCACCTAGATGGACACGGACCAACAGTGCTGTGTTCTACCCACCATGTCAATGGCCACAAGGGACAGCCCTCCTCTCCAGGCCTCACTGTGACACACTCATCCTCGGTCCTCCTAGCAGGAACCAAACACAGCTAGCCCTCAGGCTCAGAGACTGTCCTGATGGGATGCATTAACTCCAAGTTCATCTCATTCATATCAATACCCAAGATCAGTGTTAGCACAAGGCAGGGCTCCAAGACAAAGAGGATACAGTTCAAGGCACAGGGGCATATAGCCAGAGGCTTCTCCTACAATGAACAGCAAGGATGATTACAAAGGCAGCACGGAGGATACTGATCACGATTTCCTGATGGTCTAACATTTTCGACAGTTTAATCAAAAGAATAAGCATCCCCTGCCTCTCACTCTCTAACACCATTACCCACAGCCCTGATCTCAGGATCAGCATAATCCAAGTGACATTGAATCCCAATGTGTGTGAGTGTTTCTTACAGCGGCTGCAGGAGTGGATTCCGGCATGGGAGGGCCCCAGAGAAGAGCTGGAAGGGGATTACCAGCGTGTGGTCACATTGGTCTGCCTGCCGAAGCCTGCCTCTCCCCATCTGTCAGCTCTTATACCACTAGTACTGCACTTCACAGGAAAACAGCATGTCTGATTTTAAACGGAGAGATACAGACCCTTAAAAAAAAACCAACCTAAATAAGATTAACCACCTCCTGGGCATTTCTGAAACTGGCATTCTGCACTTGGCTGGGATGGGCCAGGATCATCAGAGGCTCCATTGAGTACCAACCTACTTCTGCAGCACCCTCCAAGCTGCTGGGGCTCTTACCTGTGCCATCTTGGCAAGGTCTAGGGAAGGCCTCTGCTCCTGGACTTCTTCGGGGCGCCGCCGTTTAACACCAACCTTCTTGTCATTCAGGACACATGGCTGGGAGCGACTGCGGGCAAGCCCACTGGAGCGTCTTGCCAGCTCTGGTGTTGAGGCAGGTGTGCTGTTGGCTGAGGGTGGACAGTATTCCACAAAGGAAAACTGCTCGTGCGAGCAGGAGAGGGACCGTTGCAAGTCCAGCCGGCCCCCTCCCATGGGGTGTGGGTCGGGGCTCCAGGTATCACCCACTTGTCCATAGGGAGTCAAGCCTGGTGCCCCTTGACAGGACTGCCCCCTAAATTGGTGGTGGAGTACTCCCTGGTCGCAGGGTGAGGAGAGCATGTTGGCCCGGGAAGGGAGGCTGAAGCTGGAGCTCCTCTGCATGGTGCTGATGCCATTGGAATAGCGCTGGACACTGCCCCCGCTATAGCATCGTCTCTTTTCCACAGGAGTCCAGACTTTGGATCCCAAGGGCCTCCATGATGTCCGGCAGCTGGACATCTCATCAGAGAAGGACAGTGACCGGCACTGGCGCTTGCTGGGGGGTGCTGAAGGGTTCCCATTGTGGTCACTGATGCTGAGGTCTTTGATCAGGCTGGTCACGGCGCAGGTGGTCACCGCCTCCTGGTGCCACAGTGAGCCATCCTGACACTTCTCAGGCAGGCACTCCCAGATGCTGGCACTTGGCTGGTCAATCTGAAGAGGGCATTTCCTGTCCAGGTCTCGCCATCTGTCATTTTCTGTTTCATAAGTGACAAAGAGAAAACAGGATTTTAGAAGGCCTTTAGACCAGCCCTCTATCTTCATACCAACAGCATACATGAGATTTTAGAGCCAGAAAGGCCCCTAAAAACCATCCAGTCCAACTTCAATTTACAGATGAGAAACTAAAGCTCAGAGAGAGGAAATGAGCCCTACAGTGTTGAGTTAAACATAGAGTGAGGCCCAGAATCCAGACCCCTGAGATGCCTGATACAGTTTTCTTTCCAACATACCATACTGCCTCCCAGCAAAATCCAAAGCAAAATTTTTCACCTAAGATGCTTTTTAATCTTATAGGTGGGAAACTGACTTGCTCCACAGCCCACCCTGATTGGTAGCAGAGTCAGGACATCATATCTGCTAAGTCTCTACTCAGTTCTCTCTTGCTGTTAGGACTGGCAGGAGACCACGGCCAAATATGAGTCTTTCAGTATTTCAGATGGTCAAGGTCAAAAATGGAGCTGGGGTACTGACAGGTTAGTTCATCTGAATTCCATTTTAAAAGTACTTGCTAATAGAAGCTGGATTTTTTTATTGATTTATGTCCCTTCCATCAAAATGCTCATCAACATCAACAACATCCAATCACTGCACTTTCTCTGTATTCACTTGATTTTTCACTGAAACAGGATATTTAAAGCAATTAAAATCTATAAGAGCAAGTCTTTGGCTACACAGACTTAAGGATATAACTTAATCTTACATAGTCAGGTCTCTACTTGAATGCATGAATAAGTAAGCTAATCCTAATGTGAAATGCTGAATTTGCACTTGAGTCTTTATTTTAGTGAAATATTCCAGAACTATTTGTTGTTTTTCTACTAAAGAGTCAGGCACTGTGCTGGGAATTTTAGGAGATGCAAAGATAAATTTGATATAGTTCTTGTATTCAAGTTTACAGCACAAAAGCAAAGTTAAGAATATGCTATGTTGGGCTGGCCAGTTAGCTCACTTGGTTAGAGCATAGTTCTGATAACATCAAGGTCAAGGGCTCAGATCCCTGTACTGGCCAGACACAAAAAAAAAAAAAAAAAAAAGAAAGAAATATGCTATGCTATCAAGGATCAACATGTTAGCACTCTCTATTTTTTGTAGGCTACATGTATTTATAAATTGTGCAAATGTGAATGGTTTGAGTCATTCAGTCAGCAGAAGGATAGACATGAAACCTAAAATGATATTCAGTATGTATTTCAATGCACACTCATTCTCACAGCAATGCGATTGTTTACTGAGCACCCACCCTCAGCTATGTAATCCACACAGCACTTTGCACACAGGTACTATCAAGGCCCAGATGGGAAGATGAGGGTTATGGGGAAGTTGAATAACTGCCTAGGGCCACAACAGCTAACACATGACAGGATATAAATCCAGGCTGCCTGACCCCAAAGCCTGTGCTCTATTCACTACATTACAGCGCTAAAGAGAACCACCGGTGAACTTGACACCGGCCCTGCCCTCAAGGAGTTTATGGGTCAGGCAAGATGGGCTATAGGTTCAGAACATTGTGATTTAACCCACACGAGTGCTCCAGACAATAAGGACTACAAACCTATCACCTCTACCAGTGGCCACTTCCCAAAGGGCACAGAGAGACACCCTGGACTGAGCATCACAAGCAGCAGCTACTTGACTGGTTTAAGACGGATGATCAATGCAGCCCAAAGAGAGGTCCATAAGCCAAAGGAATAGCCAAGTCATGGCTAAATGTGATGCTCATTCCTCTTTGGCACTGTGCAGAAGGTCATGAGACACAGAGCCTGAGGGGCTGGGACCCTAGGCAGGGGACAGAAGGAGGAACAGCCCAGAGGCTGTACCCATGGAGGGCCTCAGAAGAGGGAGATGCAGGAGAGAGATTTTCCTTAAGGCCTGGCAGGCCAGCTGTGAACAAAGCAGGACTGTGGCTAAACATCCGATTCATCTCATCCTAGAATCTTCCCAGGCCCTGACTAGGCAAGGCTCCATACCTGTTCCTTCAATTAGACCTGGTAAATTATTTCCAAAAGTTACGAAAAAGTATCTTTTTGCAAGTTGCATTTATGTTGTTCAAATATGTCTTCGCTACCTAAGAAATTATTCCCTTTGAGTATTCACCATTCTTTTAAAAGTTCAGCAAACTAAAACAATAAAGTAAAATTAAAAGAAATGAAAACTGAGTCATGACAGTCTCTGTTATCTGTTTTAAAAGAGAGAAAGTTATCCTTAGAAAAAAGTGGAGATTTATGTATGATGCTGTTCATCAAAATGATATGAGTGACAGCAAAACGGTAAACATAACTATACTGTCCTACAGCAGGGGGTTGGCTAAATTACAAAGGAATAACATGGAGCATGAAAAACCACAGTTTCAAAGAATATTTAACGATGTGGGGAAATGCTAATGATGCAATGCTAAGCCCAGAGAAACAGGATATAAAGCTATATAGACAGCATGATTCCTATTGAGTAAAATATGTATGTTATATGTGAAGACGAAAAGGAAATAAACCAAAATGCTAATAGCTGGTTGATTTAAATTTTTCTCCTTTTTTTTTTTCTTATCTCTTTTTTGTTTTTCTATGAGGAAAAATGTATTTCCAAACATGTGGACTACCAAGCCCACTAGTACTGTGCTGTCTTAACTCAGGAAGGGAGCCAGGGTCAGGGCCAGGGGTTGCAACCCATCCTCCTCTGGGTTTGCTCCTTCAGGTTTTCAGAAAGTCACAGTAGAATAATGCTGGTACCAACTTCTCTTTTGGGACAAGGCACTGAGGAGCCAGATGGGGCAGAAATGTGGTGGAATGACAAAGGAACCAGTGGACTCAGCCACAGAGAAGAGAGGGCCCCAAGATAGCACCATGGCGGACAGTGTTCAAGGAGCCTGAGGCATACTACAGAATGCATCTCAAACAGACCTCGGGAAACCTGTGTAATTAAAAGAGATTGATCCCATCCTCAGAAGACACCAGTTTCTGTTCCATGTTTGTTTCACTGGCCTGGAATTTTCCCTAACTCTCGGGAAATCATGAGATGAAAAGAATTGGGAGCCAATTAAACAAGAACGTACTGTCTCTCTCCTTTGGCAGTGCCCTTCCCTTCCCCGGCCATCCCTGTGATCTAGTGCTTCTTGACCGGACCCCTCAGGCCTCCCTACTCCAGTCCCACCTCCTCCCAGGCCTCTAGAGAATTTTCTGAAGCCGCCACCTACTGTGTTTGTCCATCTCCTTTGGCAGTTGCCCATAGCCTCCTAGAAAGAATGCAAATGTTTCAGCCTGGCATTTAGGCCCCTGTCTACTCATTATTTCCCTGGCAGACCCTACACTCCAGGTGCCAAACTTCCTATGACACTGGAGTTCAGACAAGAATCATGTAGAGTCAAAATCATCCCTGAAAATCTTAAAAATATCCCAGAAAGTACACTCCTCCTGATTTTGTGCAGACAACCCTGAAGAACAATTTAAAGTTCAATAATGAGACTGCAGGAATGAGCACAGGTAAAATCTACATGCAGAGGACTAGGAATCCAATTTGCTTGGCCTTGAGGTTAACTATTAAATCCCCAGTGGGTATCAGGGTTGGATGGTGAACTCTTAACTTACCCCTGCTTTCCTACACAACCTACTCCATTCTGTTCTGAAGAGTAAGCTGCTATGGCCTTCATATAGAAGATTTCTTAGTTGTTCTGAGGATTCAGAATTAGTTCTCAACTCAGTCCACTAGTTCAATGAGAAGCACACTGCAAATGAAGTAAAGTTGCAGCTTCCCCCAAATGTCAGATCTTTCAAGCCTTCACATCTTTGCAAAGGCTTGGAATGTTCTTCTGCTGTCTTTATGCTTTTTCCACCAAGAGTCTCCTACTCCTCATTTTAGAACCAATTCAAACCTCCTCTGAGGACACATCATCTCCATATAACCCCATGGGCACCCACAGTTCTTTGCCTAGATTTTCAATCATGTGGTACATATGTTAACTGAACCTTAATTATCACCTCACGTATCTACTTCTACTTAGCCACAAGCTCTTGAGCACAACCCCAGTGTAGCTCTCTGGCACCAAGCACAGAGCGTGGCACACAGCAGACTCAGTCAGTGGAGAGTGGAGAAAGGAGTGGGTGACAAAATGCAGATGAAAGCTGCAGAGCAGGCTGTGGGTGTTCACTTGGTCTCATTTGTCTTCTGTCCTTGGCATGGGTGACCCTTCCTTGGCCAGGAAGCTCCAACCTAGACTGTGCTTTGAACCCTCTGCCCCACCACGGCCTCAGATGGCTGCGTGTGAAGCAGACAGGAGACTGGCTGTCAGAGCAATGTCTAAGATACTTTGAAAATGCAAAGCACTCCTACTGTGTATCAATACCAGCCAGGTGGCCACTTGTTCTGTCTCTGGAGCAGATAATACTTGTTTTTATCTTTATCACTTTAAGAAGTACAAAATAAGAAAAGCAAAAATAACTGAGTCTATTTTAGCCCTTGTGTTTTCCCCCTTCGCTCAGGAAACAGAAAGCAATTTGTTGGGTTGGGTCACCAGATAAAAGAAACAGGAATAGAAGCTAATTTTTAATGGCAAACTGCCCCAAGTACTAGGCCCCAATGTCACACTATACAAAAGACCTCAGTAGGGCTCCAAAAAGAGGATACACCACCCTTCACAGCCACTCCATTCAATATCACTTCTGCATATACAAATATAACTCTTTCAAAAATGACAATGGCCATGGATGTGGGGCGTCCCACTGAGCAATGATCACTTGGTGTGATGGAAAGGGTGTGGACCTGGGTTTGAACCTCAGCTCTGCAAGTTACTTAATCTCTCAGAGCTATTATGAGAATTAAACAGGTATCTAGCATAGGGCCTAGAGCAGGCTCTCAAAAATGGCAGGCATCATTACAATAATTCATAGTATTGGAAAATATTCATATTTGAAGCTCAGCTCTTCTGCAACTCAGTACTAATCTCTGGAATCGGGCTGGAATGGGAACTTATATTCTCTGCACTAGG